TCTCAGTAAGCTTGTACTTAACTCATTACTACTTCGCATCCTGATAGTCTCTTCTCAGAACAGGCAATGGTTATCCATTAAATATATATTCATGATCATGAAATGTATTTCCTCGATGTAGCCTGGCATAATGAACACCATACCGAACCTTACCCAAGGCCCAGTGAATTTTCCCAATGGAGCCTCTAGTATGGCTATTGGAGCCGATGCGGGACGATGGAAGGTGTTTACACAAGTAGATTATCAGGGACAGGACAGGACTTTGGACCCTGGTGTTGACTACCAAAACCCGCAGGCAATGGGCCTTCAGAGCGCTGTCTTTAGCATGCGCCCCGTTAATAACTAGGAAACAACTTCGAGGACTGTGCGAAAGTTATCTGGAGCAATCTAGTTAGTTTAAGAAAGATAAAGTAAAAATAAATCCAAGACTGCTGTTTTGTTCTTGAAATGTACAAAAAAATTCCACGGTCTAATAAAGTCTGCTTTATTCTCCGATTCGTGAATGTGAATTTTTTTTTTTCTCTGAGGGCACGGTAACGAATCCTGCAATATGATCGGTTCTTAGTGCAGCCCAAATTTTAATACCTCTGGCCAGTAGTGGCACGGTATAACACTTTCATGAGTAAATCGCCAGCATCGATACCACTATTCATAAATATATTTCGTTTTGTCAGCTCCGCAGTATTTCAGTTAGCAGAAACGTCGGCTACGACCTTTATTGAATATTTTCACTTTTAACTACTGCCATGGATATCTAGTAGAAAATCCCATACAAATCCTTATAAATCGATATGCCATACTGTGTTCTTTGTGTGGTTCTTATAGAGAGCTTGGCCTACCTGTGCCTGATCCTTCTTGTTAAAAGACTTAAATAATATATACCTCGATGCGAGTGTTAAGAGAAGGAAAAAAACATGAAGAGTAAAACCATCAGTCTGGGTCTGGTAAATATCCACCACTTTTACTAACGCCGAGGTAAATAATTGTGTTAGTATATACCATACAGAAATTTTTATGAAATTCTTTCTTTCCATATAACAAACAAATTCTCCAGGCCAGTGCCGCAGGAAATGTGTGGAGAAGAGTTCGTAGAACACGTATACAGATGCTAGGATATTAAGTGTCAAAATTTACGCAAAAGATGGCTATGG